TCACGCTTGCATGCAAGAGCTGATTATGGGTATCTCTTCTCATCTCCACATTTAGTGACATTAGATTTGAAAATCAGTCATGGTGAGTTTATTTACAACACAGAAATCACCAAATGCTGAAATCAAGGGTTTTTTTTGTTTGTTTTTTTGTATCCCAGAGATCCAGTTATTAACAATATCACCACAAGAGAGGATTGAGGCAGCTGGCAGGGAGGTCTGGGGTGAAAAACATCATACACTTACTTCATGATTTAAATGGCCTGGGCTTGGACCTGGGGCCTAAGTTTTGAATCAAGAATCACCAGAGTGTGATTGAATTCTCAATCAATCATTAGTTCTAAGTGTTGGGGCAAATTATTTAATCCTGCTCTCAAAAACTTAAGGATTTGAACTCATAGAAACAGAGAGTAGAATGGTGGTTGCCAGAGGCTGGTGGAAATGGGGAGAGGTTGGTCAAAGGGTATAAACTTTCAGTTATAGAATGAATAAGGATTCTGAGGATTTAATGTTCAGCATGGTGGCTATAGTTAATAATACTGTATTGTATACTTGAAATTTGCTAAGAGAGTAGACCTAAAGCATTCTCACATGCCCACACACAAAGTAACTATGTGAGGTGATAGATTGTTAATTAACTTGGTTGTAGAAATCATTTCATGGTTTATATGTGTATCAAGTTATTATGCTGTACACTTTTAAATATATTACATTTTTAGTTGTCAACTGTACCTCAATAAAGCTGGAAAAGACAGAGCAACTAGGGATTTGTGGGGATATAGCAGGGGCATAGGAAGCCACAAGATAAACCTGGTCCACCTGCCTTTATTTAGATTCATGTACATTCTTAAAACCCAAGCCCAAAAATGATGATGATGATGAAATCCCCCTGAAGTCTACTTTAGGTTAGTTTTGGAAGGCTCCAGGAGTGTGTTCATCATCCTTTGCCTTTGTTGCCTACTCAGGTGGAAACAGATGGAAAGTACTGGAGGGTCTCCACACCTCAGTTTCTTCATTGGTCAGAGCAGGATGGTTGTCAGACTGGTAAGAGATAATGGATTTTAACCACATAGGGACTGTAGTTAGTGCCTCAGTTTTCAAGAACGTTTGCTAGGTCAGTTTATGACTTAGGAACTTAGAGCTAAGTAAGCATCCAGTCCAGAGTCTGAACTTTGACCTTGGACTTCAGTAGCCCTAGAACTCCCTCAGACTGCTAGTCCTAATACAGTAGTCTCCAACATTTTTTGGCACCAGAGGCCAGTTTCGTGGAAGACAATTTTTCCACGGATGAGGGGTGGGGGGCAGCGGATGGTTCAGGCGAGCAATGCGAGCAATGGGGGGCGATGGACAGCGGCAGATGAAGCTTCGCTCACTTGCCCACCGCTCACCTCCTGATGTGTGGCCCGGTTCCTAACAGGCTGAGGACCGGTATGGGTCCTGGCCCCGGGGTTGGGGACCCCTGTCCTAATAGACTCAATGGAGGCCGAGCTAGAGTCCTACTACCTGACAATTTATTTTTGCTGATCTCTAAGTAAATCAGCATTTGTTATTCTTCACTTTAACCTTTATTTGACTTGCTTTAACAAAAGAGACATAGTAAACATTTTCTAATAACGATTGAAACATTCTTCACTTATAGAATTACTTTGGTTCTGCATTAGATTAAAATGTGCAACACTGTTATTTTGGATTATTTTCTATAATGTATAAAATCATGCATTAGAAATTCAATATGATACTTTTGGGGACTTCCCTGGTGGCGCAGTGATTAAGAATCTGCCTGCCAATGCAGGGGACATGGGTTCGAGCCCTGGTCTGGGAAGATCCCACATGCCGCGGAGCAGCTAAGCCCGTGCACCACAACTACTGAGCCTGTGCTCTAGAGCCCGAGAGCCACAACTACTGAGTCCACGTGCCACAACTACTGAAGCCCGTGCGCCTAGAGCCCGTGCTCCATAGCAAGAGAAGCCACTGCAGTGAGAAGCATGCACACCGCAACAAAGAGTAGTCCCCGCTCAACTGCAACTAGAGAAAGCCCACGTGTAGCATCGAAGACCCCACGCAGCCGAGAATAAATAAATTTTTTAAAATTCAATATGATACTTTTAATTTCTTAATTAAGAAAAGCCAAACAATTGTATTATTTTAGCAGGAAAAAGAAAACTCATAATACTTAGCTATACAGTTAAGTTAAACCAGAAATTGATATTTGTACAATTTCTACTCCTTGGAAGCAGCAGGTATATAAAATTATTATATATTGTATTTATGCTGCATGCACAGAAAATTGACTAGAGACCCTGAAAGTAGGCAAGCTCTTTGGAACCCAGACTGGATTACCAAGCTGAGTACCCCTGCAAAACAAACTCTCTGTCTGAACATATGGAAGGTACCAAAAGAGAGTGAAAACCAGTTTTACTTTTTTTTTTAACTTTTTTTTTAATTTTTGGAGGAGAACCAGCAGTGGAAGAAAAGATCACTTCCTCTGTAGACACTATGGGTTTCGGATTCTGTAAACTCTGACATGTAACTTGACCCTAAAGCTAATGAAATCCTGTTAGACTTTCCCTGCCCTCCTTCCTGCTTCCATCTTTTTGATTGTCTCACCTTTGAAAACCTCGATTTGTACTTGTATACATGTGTGATCCTCCTGCCATTGTTTGGCTTTTTACCCAGGCACTTTTCACCTACATCCTCTCCTCCCTTCGTTTGACAGTCGGTTGGGCTTCTTCCTGCCTTGAATACCACATTCCCGAGTTATTCAAGCTCAGTCATTAGCACCCTGTCCCCCTACTAAAATTATGAATGAAAAGCCTTGTTGTTCTTTACAAATAACTCAGGCTTCCTCAGTCAGTCAAATTCGAATGGAAGTGACTGCCGGACAAAGGGGTGGGATGACGGACAGTCCTCACAGCGAGTCATCAATGCCCACAGGAAGTTTTTTAAGCAACAATCTAGGTAGAGAGGGTCGGGCGCTCCCGGAGGACAGGCCTACAGAGGGGGGCTGGGGGGTGCTCTTTGTGTCCATTTGGATCCTTGATATTTGCAATAAATGACAATGCCATAATAGCACATATAAAAAAAAAGTCCGAGAAGACCAGAGATGACAATGCACAGAGTCAATTTTGCCCTTGCAAGAACTTAAGAATCCTTCCATGGAGACATCTACCTTGCAGTAATGCTGGTTGGAACTGACACGCACAGACAAAAGTGAAGGCACTGACCATTTACTGGGCATTGAATGCTGAACCGTGCAGGAGTGGGTTACAGACTGGGAGCTGCACGACTCCCCGCTGGGAAGTTGCATTGTCCTGGGCCCCTTTTTCACAACAGGGGAAAAGGTAATTGACAGGCTGATTGTTTGCCCGGGAACCCCGCTGTTTTAAAATCCTGGAAGGCCCCAGTCACACTGTTGTCAATAATAGCCATCGGAGGTGCGGAGTGAAGGACTGTTCAGGAAACAGTTTGAGCCCTTCAAGTGGACAGGCCTCAGTGACTTTTCTTGCACTCTGGCTGCCACAAGCAACTCATTCAAAAATAACCTTCAAGTAATAAATCAAACTTGTTTCCTGAACTATACAAGGAACAGCTGGTTATTTTTCCTCCCTTTTTTTTTTTCAAAGACAAAAAAAAGATTTTTACTACAGGAAATCAAGCATGTCAAAATTTGGCAAAGCAGTTTGGATGATTTAACAGCTAAACACTTCTCTTTTTAATGTTATGCTTTCATCGGTCTTTTTTTATTTTGGCTTTTCATTTTTGCATTCTGTTTGCTGCCGTGAGTGTCCCTTATCTGTGCTTTCCTCCCTTTTGAAAGGAAAATGAGTTTAGTATCTTGTCCTTAGAATATCTTTGGTAATTTCTAATGTGTTGGTCAAGAGGCTCAACTTATTGTACAGCTAAAATTTGTTTTCTTCTACAGAGAGAGTTTGGATTTAGACCTATAGCTCCACATATCTGTTTCTCGTGGGATCCATATATTTTGGAGTTCTGATGACAAGGCAGTTTTTCTTCAGTCTGCTGATTTAGGAACCCCAAGCTAGTGCATATGTCATAACTGAAGTAGTCTGCTATTTTAAGAAAGCACATTTTGAGCGTTTTTGGTCTTTTTGTGTCTCTCTTTGTGCCTGTTTTTGTGTTTTCTTTGTGTGTGTCTTTCCCTCCTTGAATATGTTTGCCCTTCAGATTTTGGAAAAATCTGCCAACCTCTGACTGACCTTAGCGATAATTAAGTATAAATATAAGTATAAATGATTAACATAAAACAATTCCCTTCTGTGATGATTGTTTATCTTTATTTTATAGATGCTTGATATTTCAAATAGAAATCCATTCCAAATGAAAATATTTTATGATCTATCATTGTGTACCTTAGAGATTAGCTTTTCACAACTTGTGGACATTTAGAATTAAAAAAGAAATGTATTTGAGAATCTGTCAGATTTCAATGCACTAGGTCTATGTCAATCAATTTAATTATAATTAAACAATAATGTTAGGATTAGATATTAAGATTATGTAAAACATCTATTTTACAGGATATTTTTACTACTATTTAATAAACAAAGACAATTATAATTTAGCATTAAATGAGAAATTATAAATTATACTTTGGGATTTGGTCCTTTAATAAACTTTTTATTTATTTTGTTGCAGAGATTATTTATAATAACACACTTGTAATGAAAGGTATGTTTACAGGAAGATAATAATGAAATACAATTTGTAGTAGACTTAGGTCATTGTAGGCTTCTTTTCTATTTCTCTTTTCTTTTTTCATTTCTTTTCCTTGATATTTGCAATAAATGACAATGCCATAATAGCACATATAAACCCATCTTTGTGCTACACGATTAAACTTACACACTTTGTATGTATACAAATGTCTTGGCTGATACGAGTGTGAATTTAGCAGTGGGTGTGGTTTCCCTGTAAATGTTTCTTCCATATATGGCTGATATTCATACCGAACCTGTTTTGATGTAACATTTCTTTACTTTCAGCATTTAAGCTTCGAACATGTGATACGTGACTGGATGGAATTCCTGGAGAACTGTATTAACACGTTTCAAAGAGTTGAATCCTGAGGTTAGTACCATGTCAGAAAATTTGAGGATTTGCACAGTTATTTATATGTAGGGTTCATAGATGATTGTATAATATCATTCATAAGTGAATTAGAATATAAATATTATATTTAAAATAATGTAAAATACTCAGTTCTGTACATGACTCATTTCATATTAAGGCACAGGCTTTTGTCTCCCTCAGAGGTGCTCAGGAATCGATGAGTTAAGTGGACTTTGAACCTTCTGATACCTTCCCGCAGCCTCACAACTCCTCCCCATGGCCCTGTGGGCTCTGGCCACAGTAGGGGCAGGTGAGATGGCGGGTGTAGACTGAGAGTGCTCTGTACAGACTTGCTTTCTGGCCTCCTGTTCAGCTGCCAGTCTCACAGCTTGCCCTGAGAATGGACTTCCTGTGCTGTCATTTACACTCAGTATCACACTAAGCACTCTTTGTCACTCAGCTTTTGAGACAGAAGGGGGCGAGATAACACATCTAGACTGTTTGTGTTGACTTTGTGGATAAAGTCAAGGGCTGGAGTCAAGAACCCTGGGTCTTATCCTCATTTTGCAACTGCCTTTCCTGTGACATTGAGCCAGGCTTTGGACCTCCCCATTCCTCACTTTTTCCTCTTCTATCAAATGAGGATCAGTTTGCAGTGTTCTCTTATTTTATCAGGAAGGTATGGTTGTTGAAAGATTTTCTAAATGCTTGAAGCCGCTAGCAAAAGGAAAAAGAAATCTGCTTTTTGGAGAGAGATGGAAAGGAAACCACAGCTGGTTAATTACTCCTAGAAATAATTCATTTTCCAATCCTGTAGGTAGGGAATTTTCCCTCCTACTCACGTCAGTTTTTTCCTCATCCTTTTCTTTTGCTCTTTTCCTCTCTCCCTCTCTCTTCCTGTCTCCCCCTACCCTTTTTTTTTTTTTTTTTGCGGTACGTGGGCCTTTCACTGTTGTGGCTTCTCCCGTTGCGGAGCACAGGCTCCGGACGTGCAGTCTCAGCGGCCATAGTCACGGGCCTAGCCAATCCGCGGCATGTGGGATCTTCCCAGACCCGGGCACGAACCCGCATCCCGTGCATCAGCAGGCGGACTCTCAACCACTGCGCCACCAGAGAAGCCCTCTCTCTGCCCTTCTTGTCTGTCTCTTTCTCCCTTTCCCTCTACCCCTGCAATGTTTCCTTCATAGCAACATGCTGTGAGATCAAGGTGTGTAGCAACTAGCAAAGCTGAAGAATACCTCTAAAAGGCTTTGTCCGCTGTGGGTGAGCGGAGACACCGGAAACACAAGGAGGGCCTTCTGAGTTGACTGGGTGGGGAGTGACAGTAAGGGCTATGGAAGCTTTTACAAATATATGGGACTTCAGAGACAGTTACCAGCTGGCAAGCTGGGTCTCTGGGGCCTGGGGCCACTTATTTAGAGGTTCTTTTTGTGAAGAGATGGGGTTGGAAAGGGGTTGGAACGTATAGTGAAATTCAGGGATTCTCTCAGTGGGATAGGATGGAGGGCCTCTTCTGGCCACAGCTGTGGCTACATCCTTTTCCTTTTTCACTAAATTATACAACTGAATAGAGTGTAGCTTTGAGTGGAAAGGAATTTCATCTCCTACTTCAATTAGAGTGTATGAAATATCGTGAATTGTAAAGAGTGCATTTTAATACATTTCACTTTTTAAAAACCTTTCGTCGTTGAGTTTTATGGCTGTTGTTTTATTTTGTGAAGACCTTGGTAGTATAAATTACAAACCAGATATTAATTCACATAGTATTCCTCGTGGCATTTTAAGAAGGGTGTTGTATATTCTGGCTTGCTTATTTGATATTCCAGATCCACAAATCCATTCATATGTGTTTAGATTTTTCATTCAGAAGGACAGCAGTATCATTTTGGTGGTATATGCTTTTGATCTTTTGTACATACATGGTTTTTATATGGCCTGACATTGTGTTTATTTGATATTTCTTATTGAATCCATTGTATATTAATGGATGTTTCATGCTATTTTGCTACCTATTGATAAGCTTTTTTAGTGTGACTCCCCCCATTAAAAAAAAAAAAGCAAGAAAAAACCTACTACATGGGGGATATGTATATATATATTTATATATATATAATATATATGCATAAATATATACTATATATTAAAATATAATTTATAAGTATGTATATTTTACTTGTTTTAATAAGAAGGATATGAAAAGATACATACCAGTGTGTTTATAATACACAGGATCTGAAGGGGAGGCAGGAGCTTATTAACTTTTTAAACTTTTTTCCTGATTTGTTTCACTTTGTACAACAAATATGTATTACTTTCTTAATTAAAACTTTAATAGAAAGAAAATGTTTCAATACTGATTTAATATAAACACTTAAAAAGGAAATTTAGTAGTCATAGATATAATTTGTATTTTACAAGGTTTTCGCCAATCTTGGTAAAATGTCTAAAAATCCGTTAAGAAAGCACAGTCCCTTTTGTTTTTAGAGCACACATACAAAAAAGCAATGGTTGGTGCTCCCTCTGCTGGTTTCCCTACAAGAATTAACGGGCCAATTTGGGAGGATGAAAAGATAACAACGAAAATTATGCTGAGTCTTTGATCTTTAAACACCATTTCCACATACACATTTTATCCTTGACTGACAGCAAGTGTCAAAGCAGTTTGTGAAAATGGGTTCTCTCCTGACATTTAATAGTGATACTGAAGTTGGGCTAGATAATTATAACCCTTTCTAAAAATGAATTTCTCCTTTTTCATATCATAAGCTAGGATGTAAAACACAACTATTCTTAATTTATTGGGAATTTTTGAGTGGGGATTAATCGTACATAACTGTCAATAACGGGATCTAGTAGTTGGCTATTTGAACATTTTCACATTAGTAAGCAAAACTGATGGGGGAGTGACATTATCATGGAGCATTTTAAAAATTTAACCTTGTTATATCATTACAGTAATCTGTACATTCTTATATAAAAGATACTTGAAAATTTCTTAGTTTAGTTAATATTGATATCCAAACTATAACTAGAGATTCTTAGAACTCATTGAATTCATCAATTCCCCCACCCCCACCCCCACCTAGGAATCCTGACTTTCTTGGATCAGAGTATATTGAGCCATATATACTATCCATTTATCAAATATTAGTGTTAAATCATTCCTAAATCTTTATTGGATTCTATATTATATATAATACGGTATTCTCTGTCTTAAAGGTGTTTAATGTGAAGATTCTGTCTGTACATATTCAACTCCTTCCACTAGCTTTTGCCTTTAGGTAGGTGTCAGTTATGGTATTAACTGCTAGAATATATGAAACTATTTCCCTTAGGGATATATGCATTTAATAGGGAGCTCTGGAGAATCTATAAACTTTCAAAAGGAGCACTTTTTTTTTTTTTTTTTTTTGCGGTACGCGGGCCTCTCACTGTTGTGGCCTCTCCCGTTGCGGAGCACAGGCTCCGGACGCGCAGGCTCAGCGGCCATGGCTCACGGGCCCAGCCGCCCCGCGGCATGTGGGATCTTCCCGGATCGGGGCACGAGCCCGCGTCCCGTGCATCGGCAGGCGGACTCTCAACCACTGCGCCACCAGGGAAGCCCCCAGAAAGTCCCCAGGAAGCCCCCAAAAGGAGCATTCTTAATGGTAGGTTTCAGGAAGAGAACTTTTGTAGTAAGACAAAGTAGACCGGAGAAGGGTCACCTCTGGAGAATGCACAGGCCCTTGGGAAAGGAGTGGAGAATTAAGACAGCTCCAAACAACAGGTAGTAAAGAATGGGGAAGGTGCTGTTGATCAGGAAACAGGAGCTGCATTTCCTTGGTAAGAGAACTGCTCTCCTTTTAAAAAGTCATCTCTGTGAGGGCTGCTCAGGGAATGGCGAAGGAGAAAGGAAATAATAGGGTAGAAGGCCAGATCTCGTAAGTCAACTTTACCCATCACTGATGAGCCAGATACCATAGTCAGATCAGCCTAATACCCTGGAAAACACCAGGTAGAGATTTAGGCAAGTGACAATGTTAGGGACAGGCAGTTTCACGTAGCAGAGATCCAGTCACACTCCTGGTGTTTAAGCAAGGGAATGCTAGGCTCTAGAAAGAGTGGGGAGGGTGATGAGTGTTGGGGGTTCTGGGTATATGGAAGGTGCACACACTCCATATACTCCAGTGCTGGAGGACCTGGAGTACCAGGCAGTGCCTGGTTGGACTCTAAGGTCAGGAGGATTCCTGGCAGGATCCGTGTTCTGGATTGTGGGATGTGAGCAGTTAGGGTCAAGGCTGATTTGATAGTGACCCCAGTGTACTAGCACATTCCTTCATCCTGAGTCTGGAGAGGGTTTGTATACGAGCACATGTTCAGTTAAGACCTACAAGCCACACAGATAACGGTCCAAAGCAGGAATTTTAGGAGATATATTATTGGATGGGAGGTCATGCCCCTTGCATCTCAAGCCATGATATATGGGCCAATGCACTCTTAGCCTACTTATAAGGTCACTGTGCATTAGAGGTTAGGGATTAAAGAGACCAGAACACCTCTTTTTCAAACAACTTTTATATTATATTTACCATCAGTCCCTCATAATTGTTCTCTAATTTTTTATGTCTTTGTTTTTAGTAGTGTCTCTTCAGATGATATATTTTAAGTTTCTTAAATGCAGGACTGTTTTTTTTCAGATCTTTTCCATTTCCCTAAGAGCTTTAACTTAATTTTGTACGCAGATTATTCTAAATGACAGAGATGTTAGGGCTTTGTTTGTTTGTTAGTTTTTTCCAATATGCTCTATAGAGCAAATTCCCTGAGTTTCTACATGAAGGTGGGGAGGGAAGGGAGCTTTGATTTTACATATTTGGCTTTTATATAGTATTTCCCTTGAAGAAAGAATTGCCCTAAAAATTTTCAGAAAACTCTGAGTGTGTTTGGTTGATGATAATCAAATTGATACTCAGAAACAACTGAATGTAGGGAACTTTTCCTAGAAGGCCTACATTCTAAAATGGATTCCTTTTTAATTGATTTCTTTATGAATATATTCTTTATGCATTGTTAGTCCTATATGAATCAACTTAAAATTAAATGTGTTTCTTTTTCTTGTTTTGTTCATGAAAGTGATTTCAAAAGCCATGCTTCTTATTATTAGAAGAACTATTAGTCAAAGAGTGCTCATGTGTTCATAAACCTTATAGTCCAGGAGAAGTGGTTTGGAAAGAGAAAACTCTTATATATTCCCCAGGAATTCCCCAACAAATAGACGATGTATTTAAATGGATGTACATTTTCCCTACCCTTGGACCACATCAAATCTGACACTAGGCAAGGAATTATCTAAATCAGGCTAGGAAGCATATAAAGGCTAGTAGATTTATTTCAAGACCCTTTTTAACCAAAGCTACCTTTTTGCTTTATTTATATTATCTGAGAGAAAAGTGTGAATTAGGTACCTTCTTCCTTGCCTTCCATTCTCTTCTGATCAGAGAGATAGAATCCTTTAGACCTACCTACCCTGTTAACAGTAGCCATTAGTCACATGTCGCTATTGAGCACTTGAAGTGTGCTGTAATATATACACTAGATTTCGAAGCCTTAGTAGAAGAAAAAAAGATGGCGAACTAGCTCATTTATATATTTTTTATATTATACATTGAGATGACAATAGTTGGGTTAAAGAAAACATTATTTAAATTAATTTCTTTTAATTAACTTCATTTCTTTTTACTTTTCAGTATTCAAAAATGTTAATTCACATATGTGGTTCACATTTCTGTTGGACAAAACTCCTGTAGACCAATAGTTCTTAAACTTTTTTGAATAATAATGCGTTCCTTTGAGAATCTGGTAAAAGCTCAATAAATCATAGAGAGATAGATACTGTCAGTTCTGCTATACCTAACATATGTGTTCCTAAGACTCACCGTACTGTGCAAAATCATATGCTAAAAGCTACAGGGCTGGGATTGGAGTAAACACTCAACAATTTTGTCAGTGACACATAAGAAAGATAGCAACATAATAAAAATGGTAGCACAGTTTTATCCATGGTGAATGGTAAAGAAATATGTCAGTATTACAATAAATATGGCACTTGACCCTGAAAATGTCTCATTTGTCTGTCGGGGTGGGAGCTCCTACGAAACTGCCCCCCTTCCAAGCCTGCCTTGTTCCCGTGGCTGCCACCCTGTGTGCCAGAGGAAGAGAACGTTAGGAAGGTAGAAAAAAAGTGAGGGAAAGAGAAATAAAGAGAGAAAAATAACAGAGAACAGAGGGGAAGACCACAAAATAGTCTGAGAGGAAAGGGGAAAAAATGAAAGAGAAGGGAGGGCATGAGGCTGAAATGCAGGGTTGCAGCGTATGAGTGATGGGAAGGAGGTTACCTGAAATCAGATGGAAAGTTGGAAGAGCACATGCAGAAAGTTGGAGCAGTAAACGGAACAGCAGATGTAGGTAGAGCTCATTGTCCTTGAGAGGTGTGTGCATTTTGTTGATTTGTGCAAAGCTCAGTTCAGCTGGGTGCAGTTTTCTGCGTTGGCCTGGAGATGAAATTGGCACAAGCAAGTCCAAAATTACTGTTGTGCTAAAATTTTCCCTAATTTATCAGTCACGTTGGAACAAATTCACGTTTTCAAAACAAGCGTTCTAGCAGAACTGACTGTAGAAACTTACACCATGATAGACTGTCATGCACAGCCCACGTTTGCAACCTCCAGACTGGAGGAGTGTCAGAGCACGCCAAGCATTAGGAAGCAAAGCTGAAATGCCAGCATTTGGTTTTTTCCAGGTGTTATAGTCACCTTGGATTATGGATTATGAGAAGGGGGGCCTGGTGAGCAGTTTGTGGTGAGCAGTTTGTGGAGTGCTGAGTGGGGTGTAGGGAGTGAATGCATTATGGGTGTGGATCCATGGGGGTGGAAGACGTTGAATTCGAGATGAAGAGAAGGTACCCTTTCGATACCAACTGAGGATGATCTATTTACACAAGCCTTTTCTAATCTATGCTAGAATTGTCCAGGAACTATCCCAGTGACAGGAAATGAGTGCTTGGTGAGAGGGAAATTCTAACAGGTAGTAGACAAAACGAGCAGATACTGTCTTAATATTCGGCTTCTGTTTATTCTGGGCTTTAGTTGCAATTCAAAGAATTTGGTTCCTGTGAATTCACAGAAATAGGTCTAAGGATCTGTCAAGGGGAAGTGAATTGAGAAGATCTTCAAGTCACTAAGAGTAGTGAAGTAACTTTGAAAATTAAATCAAACCATTGGAGGTGGTTGCCCATTAAACATAATGATACTAATGAAGATGAGGATGATAAGCTAATATCTACTGGGCTCTTAGTAAAACTGGGGACTATACTATGTGTTTTATGTGGATGATTTTATTTAACATTCAAAACATTTTGAGGAAAGAGTTTTACCTTTCTTAGGTACCTCTTTTTATGGATTGAAGTAACTCAGCCAACATCACACTGAGAGCAAGTAGCTGAGTTGGGGCTTGAATGTAGGCAGTCTAAAGCCAGTGTTCGTGTGGAAACTACCAGACTCTCGTCTTATTAGTGGTCTTGCTGGGGACTTTCCTTGTCTACTGTTGTATATTCTGGTACTGTTGAAATTTGTGTAATGAAATGCTATTACTTAGGTTATTTTTAAAACAGGAGAAAAATACACATACACAGACGGGTTTAAAAGAGAAAGCCTAGAAAAAAGAAATAAAAAAAGAAATAAAAACGATTTTAAAAAGTGAAAATCAACTTTTAAATTCTACATCCAACATTTTATAATACATGTATTTGGGTAGCATGACTTGAAAATGTTGTTACTTGATACACATGTGCAGGGGGCTGTCTATCCATTTGTAGGCCCCTTGGGGGAGTTCCCGTTGCCATCAAATGTACACAGGGTTGCCAACAGTAAATTATAGTAAGAGTGGGTAGTATAATCAATTTTAAATTGCTGTTCAGTTTTATAGAAGAAATATTTAATATTCAGCTATTAAAATGTTAACAAATGCCATTCATTATTTTTCAGAAATGGGTAGAAGTAATCATTTTTCACATGTCCAGTTAAATTGTCTTGTGTGTCTGATACAAGGATGTTACGCTATACCAAAGGTAACATATTATTGTAAAACCCTAAGTTGCATGTTTGTTCAAATTATTTCCATTTGCTTATCTTTGCTCTAGATTCTAATTTATAAGACGTATATAGTAAGGTATTTCATATTTAAGTTACATCTTTTTTTTTTTTTGTGGTACGCGGGCCTCTCACTGTTGTGGCCTCTCCCGTCACGGAGCACAAGCTCCAGACGCGCAGGCTCAGCGGCCATGGCTCACAGGCCCAGCCGCTCTGCGGCATGTGGGATCTTCCTGGACTGGGGCACGAACCCGCGTCCCCTGCATCGGCAGGCAGACTCTCAACCACTGTGCCACCAGGGAAGCCCCTTAAATCTATTTTTAAATGAAAAAAAAATTTTTTTCTGTAAGTAACAATGGGTAGTGCCAGATTTTATTCTCTTGTTTGATAAAAAAGAATAAAATCTATTTATCTATTGTTTATTTATTGTTTTTCCAGATACTTGGTTCTTGTTAGTGGATTAGAAATGGTAGATTTTAGAATGAAAGTAGTGTTACCAAACCAGACTTGGGTCTACTTGCCCACCTGCAGTAAAGCCAATCTCCTGACCCCGGGCTGTGGTGAAGGAAAGTACAGCATGTATTGCAGGGCACCAAGCAAGGAGTCCAGGCAGCTAGTGCTTAAAAGGCCCCAACTCCCTGAAGGCTTTCAGAGAAAGGTTTTTAAAAACAGGATGAGGGAGGGGGTTTTTGGGGGGTGTTATCAGCACATGGACATTCTTCTGATTGGTTGGTGGTGAGGTAATCGGGAATCAACATCATCAGCCTTCTGGTTCCCACAAGTCTGGGGGCTGCGTGCCTGTGGGCAGCATACGGTTAACTTCTTCCACCTGGTGGGGGTTTCAGTATCTGCAAAACGGCTTAAAGGACGTGGCTCAGAATATTATCTAAAGCGTTTGAGGAGGAACTTAAAGTCCTTGGCTTTGTTTAATGGCTAAAGTATTATTTTGTCTTGTTTAACTGTTTTCCTGTCTTTCTGCATTTTCTCACTTCTCTGATTAAATTTACTCTTTGGAACTTGGGGAAGGCCTAGGAGGCTAAAGTTTTTTAACAGATAAGAGGCAGGCGTAGGACATGGTGGGGCAGCAGGGAGTAGGTTCTGGGAAGGCCCCATAGGGTCCTGCTCGGATACAGTAGAAGACCATCTCTCCTCCGCACTCCTCCCAACCCTTTCAATCCTGAGTTTCAAATGTTCCATGACTTGGGAGATGTCATGTCACAACATTTTTTTCTGTCCTCTGTTGTGTGAGAGGAAATAAGAATACACATTTGCAAATGAGATTTTTCTAAAGAACTCTGTTTTTTTTTAGAATCACAGTAGGAACACATTTTCTCCTATTATTGGATAAATACCCAGTGAGGTACTCTCTCTTCCTCAGATTCCTCTTCAGACTTCCCTGGAGGAGAACTATGTACCTAACTTCGTTCTCTGCATCACCTTACCAGGCCCCCCAAACGTTCCTGGCTGCACTTCCCAGAGAGATGGAATGTTTGGGACTGCTCAGGGGGGCCTGTCAGGGACAGCTGCTCTGCTCTGCAGCACTGGCCACAGCTCAGCTGCCCTGAAGGGAGTATTCCTATGGCTTCTCAGGTGGTGTAACTGCACAGCTCCTGCCAGCAGCCTTGGCCAGGGGCCAAAGGAGAGAAAGGAGGGTGGGGAGAGTCTCCTTCACTAGCCTAGAGATACCTTCCTGAGCTGAGGGCCTCAACTGAGGATCTAGTTCATTCTCTAGTGTTACGGAGGAAAAGTAAGAATGATGGGTGGGGCTGATTTTTAATAAAGCAACATGCTTTTCTGAAAAATATGATACTGATCATTTGTAATAAAGGTTTGAGTTCTAGTGCAGCAAAGTTGATGCCCATGTATTTGTGATATCAGGCAAGTGGATATTAGACTGGCAGTTTCCCTCTGAGTCTGGTGAAAAGCGTTTCTCTTAGAGGCTGAGTCATCTTTCCAGTCTTGATCATGAATGAAAGTATTTCTTGGCTGCCCTGGCATTTCCATGGAGCTTGTCCAGGGGACCAGGAAAATGGCGCTTGACCAAGCTCTTCCCTTGGCTAGGGAGAATAAGCTGCTGATTGCAGTGAGGGCTGATTTTCCTCTCTGACCTCTGTTCCTCATCCCCCTCCTGCCCTCTCTGCCTCTCCCACTGGCTCCAGTACATGCTCACACTTAGGATAAGTGCCCCAGGCCAGGGGCGGACAGAAAGCAACACACTTGTGCTTGGCAGGGCGAAGCCCTGCAAATCCCGGCAAGTGTGCTTACAAGTCAACTCTTGCCCCCGTCACAAATGGCTGGGGAGGGGACCGGGGTTTATACTTTCTTCAATATCTAAATATCAATTTGCCCCAACCACCTTTTGGAAACAAATTTTAAACATACAATAATAACGCCAGCATCATTCTTCCACCATCCCAGTGGATTGGAATGGAAAGGATAAAGGGGAAATGGTTTTCCAGGTCAACTTCTGTGTGCACTAGAGAAAATGAAAAGCCAGTGTGCTAATTTAAAGTCAGCAGGCATATCAAGATAGGTAATGTAGAAGAAGGCAGTGAGTCTTGGGGTACTTATTAAATATTTCATCCTACATCTTAACTATTAAACAAAGCACACAGACCAAGCAGAAGAATGTGAGTTTCTGAGGCTGGACGTTGTGAGGCTTAACGCTGTGAAAGACGCAGCCTGTAGCAGGCCCCCTGGTACTTTCCCCTGCCCTTGGATAGACCCTCCTCTTTGAGAGCATGAGTGTATCCTGCAAGAATGCCGGGGACCTTGCCCAGCTGTAGGTCATCCACTTTCTAGAGGACAGTGGGAGGCCAACGAGGTTCTGGGGCCAACCCAAAGCTTTGGGTTTTTTAAGGGTAGTGTAAGAGAAAACTTAATTTTCCTCCTCTACTCTCAATAACTCTCTGACACCAGAGGTGTGGATTTTTCCCACACCAAGTAATTCTCCAATTCTCAGTGGACATTGACTGAGTCTCCTATAAATTTAACTCAATTCTGACACTATCTACCTGGAGATAGCATCAGATCCCACAAGTCAAGGGCTCAGTCCCACAAGACTGCCCCCACCTCAGATGTCAGCCGCTACATCCAGATTGCCACCTGTACTTCTGACCAACCAGGGTTTCCATGACCCCCTCCTCAGGTTTGATAACTTGCTAGAATGGTTCACAGAACCCAGGGAAGTGTTTCCTTACACATGCTGATTTATTATAAAAGGATACAACTCAGAACCACCAGATGGGAGAGATACATAGATGCATATACATGCCCCATGTACGGGGCATGGGGTGTGGACCTTCCATGCCCTCTTAGGGTGTGTCACCTTCCTACCACCTTCATCTGTCTACCGCTCTAGAAGCTTATCAAATCTTGTTGTTCCTGAGTTTTTATGGAGCTTAATCTCCAGCCTACCACACTCCCACCTTTGGGGTGGGAAGCTGAGTTCTCCCAGACCAGGAGGGTACCAATCACAACAGGTATATGGTACACATCTCTGTCATGTGTCTCCAGTCCCATGCATTGAGGTGGTTTCCTGTGTCTAAAGAAAATATTTGAAGACCTAATAGAAATTAGACTGATCTAGTTATATAGAAAGCTCTATAGAAATCAGACCTCAAGCCTAGAAAAGATGAACGGCATTATTCAACAATGGCCTCAAGATAACTCATCCCACGTGAATGGGTAGGAGATCCAGCGCTCCCTCTCATGGGAATTGAATTAGTTTGCTAGTTCTGCTCTAGCAAAGCACCATAGACTAGACTGTTTTCTTATACAACAAAAATTTTTTTTCTCCCATTTCTGGAGGCTGAAAGTCCAAGATCAAGGTGTTGACAAGGTTGATTTCCTCTGAGGCCTCTCTCTTTGGTTTGAAGATGGCCACCTCCTTGGTGTAGTTTCACATGATCTTTCTTCCGTGTGTGTACACTTGGGTGCATGCGTGTCCCTGGTGTCTCTCTGTGTGTCCTAATCTCTTCTTATAAGGACTCTAGTCATATTGGATTAGGGCCCACCCTAATGGGGAATTACCTCATTTCAACTTAATGACCTCTTTAAAGGCCCTGTCTCCAAATACAGCCACATTCTGAGGTACTGGGTTTAGGGCTTCAACACGTGAATTTGGGGGAACAGAATTCAGCCCATAACAGGAATAATTTCTCTTTGTTCCTCATTTAGATCACCTGAGCAGTAGTTGACCTAGGCCTGGACTTTTCTTTTGAAAGGCAGAATGGTATTCTTGGAAGGAGCATGGACTATGAAATTAGACCTCTAACAGTGTGAATCCTGATTTGATCACTTACTCCTTTTTCACTTTGGGCTCTCTGGGCCTCTGCTTTCCCATCTGTAAAATCTGTGTAACATCTGCTTGGGGATTAAATGAGATAACCTGTGCGAAGTGCCCGGGGCAACAGTGTAGGCGATAAGCTTAGTTCTACTTCTCTCCCTTCAAAAATAGGTAAAAGCTTCTGTTACTATCAAGGGAAGACATTCTTCTCTGGCTCCTCTAGTGGGATTCAATACATTTCTCAAAGGGAAAGGAAATGGCAAAGTAGGTAGTTGGAAGTAGTTGGAATACTGATTTTAGGTGTGCCGTGTATTACTTAGGCTTTTGTGGGTTGGACTGGGGATTAATAAGCATTTAGAGCCCTTTATTTTAGGGAATAGTATTCAGTTTGGGAATAGGAAATAAGGTATCAAGGGCTAGTGCTTGCTGTTAGCAGATACAAGAGTTGGGTATGGAATTAAGGACCCAACTATATGATTACTGAATAAACAGCAAAGCTAGTCACTAGGATGGAGCAAGCATTGCTTGGGTTTGAGGAACAGCTACAGCTCAGTGGGTTTCAAAGAAAACCACATTTGGGGCCACAAGACAACTCTTAAACCTATTGGTGGATCTAGGACTTAACGCTATATTGCTAAGCAGAACTGCGGGATGTTCACTTGCATTGTAAGCCTTTAGAATTTGTTATCAGAGTGAGGCAGGGAGAGGTAGGAGCTGGATCGTGGTCTTCTTCTTGAGGGCAATTAATAAGCATTTTCTGAGCATAATTATTGCTCCCACACTTTGCCCATTTATGTCATCATAGAAATAACAAACTGGACAATGTATAATTTATAATTTATCAGC